TGTACAAGTCGCCTTCTCGCCTTCTCGTCTTAAACAAGGCGCCTTGGCGAGTTTGTACAAGTCGCCTAGACGCCTTCTCATCAAAGACAAAGCGCCTAGGCGAGTTTGTACAAGTCGCCTTATTACCTTCTCGTCTAAGACAAGGCGTCTTGGCGAGTTTGTACAAGTCGCCTATAGACGCCTTCTCATCAAAGACAAAGCACCTAGGCGAGTTTGTACAAGTCGCCTTCTCGCCTTCTCGTCTAAAACAAGGCGCCTTGGCGAGTTTGCACAAGTCGCCTAGACGCCTTTTCATCAAAGACAAAGCGCCTAGGCGAGTTTGTACAAGTCACCTTCTCGCCTTCTCTTATCAGACAAAGCGCCTAGGCGAGTTTGTACAAGTCGCCTTCTCGTCTTCTCGTCTTAAACAAGGCGTCTTGGCGAGTTTGTACAAGTCGCCTTCTCGCCTTCTCGTCTTAGACAAGGCGCTTAGGCGAGTTTGTACAAGTCGCCTTCTCGTCTTAAACAAGGCGCCTTGGCGAGTTTGTACAAGGCGCCTTGGCGAGTTGAACAACTAGCCTTCGCGCTGCACGTTTAAGCTTCCGTACATTATCCATATCTTCTGAAACTGACATGATAGAAACTTCATCATCTTCTCGTTCATGCACTTCCCCTGCTCTATCAAACTGCAAGGTGAAGAAACATCAAAATGAAAATTATGAAAAGGGTTTCAATATAAAAATTGTGAATTGGTCATTTATATACCTACCGTGTCACTTGCCGTTGTCTTGCCACGAACAATGTGTTGCTTCAGAAATCCCCACGTGTTCACTATCTCATCATCACGTGTCGTTCTGTTGGTTTGCCCAGATCCACTTTTTTTCTCCTTGTTCAATATCTTTCCTAGCCGAGTTCGCTTATTTTCGTACAACTTCTTACACTGGTCCCCTGCATTAAAAACAAGGAAAACAATAAATAGGCTATTTGTGTGGTGAAGTTTAACCCTAAAAATAAAAAATAAAAACATTTAATTTCTATAAAGGAAAATATCAACAATTATTTTCCCAGTAAATTACTTTCTTATTAACTAGTAATGCAGACAACAAAAAACAAAAGGAGGATTTTTAAAACATGGGTATGGAACTTAACTAACCAACCATCAAAATTGAGAACTTACCAGTGGCAGGTGGATCCAATAATTTACCGCCATTCGCCCACATCCTTCCCTTCGTAGCAACATTCATGTAATCTTTCTGGTCTTATCATATAGTGCTGAATTTTCCTTCACAAAATCGGCTATTAATTGAACAGCGTCTTCGGTCCACTTGTACTCTGGGACATCCCTTTTAGATGTACGTGCTCTTTTTGTTAGCTTAGTTTTCTCTTCATGCTCTGTGTTCTCTGTCCCATCATTATCTGGTGAGGAGGATGAAGCCATGATTTTGCTGCTGGCTCAAACAAGAATATTTTGACAAAACGCATCACGTGACTGATATACGCGATCCTTGCGTGAAAGTGCGCGAAGGATGCGCAACCACTGCGCAAATTATGCGGGACCATGTCGTGAACTAGTCGTAAAGTGCGTGCCACATTCCCGGGGGTGGGGTACCCACTGTTTTTACGCCACGCACTGGCACGCATTGGCACGACTTGTTTGCGCATAGTTTGCGCACAGTTCACGCACTGCTGCAATGCGGGAAGTGCGTGGCAAAATTTTCAACATGTTGAAAAAAAATTTCGCTCTTCACGCATTGCCGCGCATTGCCGCGCATCGTCCCGCCCCTTCCCGCAAGTGTCCACGCATTGGCACGCATGATGCAATTTCAGTGCGTGAACTATGCGGGAACCGAAAATCGTTAAAGTGTCAACTAGGCATTAGTCACATAAATCAGTTTGCGCACGAGAGAAAACATGAATCAACTCCTTGATCACACGCTCCAAGAGGAGAGAAAATGGGGCCATTGTTCCAAGACTCTTGCGCAATTTACCAAAGGTCAAACGTTCAGCTGGGGGGGGGGGGCAGTTACAGACAACATGCAGCAGTGTTATACACATCGCGTAGCACACACATCTCACTCTGATGCACAGTACTACGAAGGAGGTACACACACAAATGTGTGTATCAAAACAGCATGCTGCTAGTGCGCCCATCGCTCGCATGCATTCTGCTTTGACAGAGCTGATTTTGTTCATTCTCTGTGCTGTGGAATCGACACCAGTTCGTTCGGGCACTGTTCCTTCGTTCACTTTTGCAAAGTATCTCTTTGAATTTTGGTGCTGTGGAGTCGACTCTAGCGCCAAAGACTCGGTTCTTATCTTGGAACCAAGTCTCCTTTTCTCGGAACCGACGTGCTCGAGTAATCGACTCTCTAGAGATTGGAGTCGACTCCTCGGTTCTGGATTTCAGAATCGGTTAGAGTCGGGTACTCGGCTCTCGCTCCCAAGCCTAATACAAAGATAAATTTGCTGGCCTTCAAAGATTCACTCCCCCCCCCCCTGTAATTACTGTCTGATGCTTATAGCAATAAACGTCACAAATTTAATATCAATGGAATCTGTTTTTTTCCTTTCATATATATCATTTCTATTCGGTAAATCTATTAATGGAAGATTCATGGTGTTAACTTTCTCTTACCTGGACCAGTTGGACTTCAATGGTCTTGTTTCGTCTCAGATCCATTAGGGTGACAAGTCAGAATTTGGCGCAATGGCCAGGGGAGTCCGCCTGTCCGACGCCACCAAGGACCAACTTCTCCCCCTCTCCAATCTGGCCAATAATGACGCTCTGCTCTGCCTTTGCCACTCGGATTATTGCAGGCTGGAGATACTCCCACTGATGCTGCAGAAACGTCTGCACGCTAATGACCTTCAAGTTCATGTGCTGAAGACAGCGAAGAATCTTGGTTGGGCTACCTCCCCCAAATAGAAAGCCAGCAGAGAGCAGGAGGTTCCTGACCATCACCTTGCCGAATTTTGGTTGGCTGTACCAGTTTCTTACATGGCCGCAGCTGATGCATGTTGTCATGACCTCGAGTTGGGAGCCGTATGATTGCCACCATGACACCAAGGACTAACTTCTCCCTCTCTCCAATCTCAATTTGGTTTTCTTTCTCTAGACAATCGTCAGTAAATATTGAATCACAAAAAGATGGCAGACAACATGTTAAACAATTCAACTTCTCATCAGGGCATTCATGATATGTCCTACGGTACTCTGAAAAACTTATAGCTCGACAATCAGTGTGAAACCGTCTTTTACAATCAGAACACAGAAGGCCGTGTTGATTTCATTTGACTGGCTTATCACAGTTCCCACACGGGAACTTATATTTCAGACCGTCCACTATCTTTTTCGGATCATCCTTGATTTTGTCAGACTTTCACTTAATTCATTACCCTTCTTACAAATTGAAGATATTTCTCCCAGTCTTTCATGTCCACCTTGGATGAGCTGAAGGCTGGTTTCAGTCGTGACCTCTGATCGACTGCGTTGAAATCCAAAGATCTCTTCCACAAAGGTAGTGTTAGTTGTGGCATCGCGATCTTCTTTCTTGGTTTCTAGACGTTCGAGTCTTTCATCAGTGCTTTTCACAAACACCAATATTTCAAGAACGTGATTGCCTGGTTGTTCTTCAATGCCTTCTTCAAGCCTTTCTATTTCTTTATCGGCATTTTGTGCTGCAATTTCACGATCCAAGGCTGTTTTGAGACGAGCGGTAAATGTTGCCTTTACGCCGTTTTTGTCAAGACCTCTCTTTTGTACCTCGCTACAAAGTTTTTGACACAAAGATGTTGGATATCGTCTAAGGACACCATTATGACGTTATATTATCAAGACTAGTAAAAAAAGATGCTCTCTTCCAGGATGCAAGATATGAATCCTCGTTGGGAGATGGTATGACCCACTCTTGCTGATTTTATGGCGTACAGTTAAAATAGTCTGCGTAAATTAGGAGTTGCCTGGCAACCTGTTTTTTATGCGCCTAAATAACCAATTTCTCCATAATAACAGACATCATAGAATTACGTATGCTGACACCAGGTAGACCAGCCCCATGACTTTCGAGGATTCACATTTTGTCATCTGGACAGCTTCATCCACTGAATTTAGTACTTGGTGAATGCGCTTATTTTGCACGTTTCCAAAGGACCGAGATTGTTAGGAGAAGCGATACATCTTGGCAGACATCTTTTCCAACCCTTCTGTGATTTTTTCTTTCGCATCCATACCTACAAGTTGTTTGAAGAAAGAGAATCTTCTCATCAAAGAGATACGGCCATTCTTCAACAACATCCAGCAGTGCACAATCAGGTTTGTTCAACGAAATTCGTTGCGAGGCATAGGTCTTTGCCATTTTTGTTTCAACTTCTCTTCTATTGGCATGATGTTCTGATTTATGATATATGTATATCGTAGCTCTTCCCTTATTAGTCCGGTATTGCGATTCACTCAGTAAACGATAGGCCCAGCGATCGCCTAACAAGTCAATTAATTCAGTTTTTCCAGAAAAATCAACATTGTTTGAAATGACCTCATACACACCTTCTTGTTTACGCACATGGTTTTCTGTCTCTTTCTCTTCATGACTTCAGCTGTTGAAGTAGAGGGAATCTAAAGATAAGTGTAAGCAGTAATTTAATAAATGTATTTAAACTTACAAATCAAATTCCTCATCCTCTTTTTCAAATATTGATGCAATGTCACCAGCCTCCTGCTCAAACATTGCTTTTATTTGTCCCTTCAGCTTTGTGATCTTTTTCTTCATTATTTTTGCCTTGCCTTTTGAGGCCTTCAGTCTCTCGGCCAGGACATCCCCACACACCTTGATTAGTAGGCCTATACTACATGGTAAGTATAGTTATGGGCCGTATGAATAAAGAGTGGCAATTGCTTGAGGGAGCCTGTTACTTGAATCTGTATGCATATGAATTGATTGCAAGAAAAAGCTTTTGCTAGCAAGCTCAAGCATTTGTTAAAAATGTAGTCATTAATTAAATATTTTGCTTTTACCTAGAAGCAGTTGTACAGAAGAATGTGAGTGTGAGTACTGGCATTTTTCTAGAAACGATGATGGCTTATCTTTCATAGTGAATTCCAAGATCATGATATCATTTTGAAGTAAACTACCTGATAAAGCTGTGCAAAAGTAATATAGCACCTAACTTTTATAATTCTTTGGTACGTACATGTATTCTAATTTGAATTGTCTAACAACAACCGTAATAATACAGTAATAATTGTACTCCTTTTAGTATTTCTTTTGTGTGACTCAAAATGATATTTCACCAATTTGCCAGCAGCATCAGAAGTAATTAGTTGTTCATTTTTCAGATGAATTCTCACTTGCTTTACGTTGTTATGACTACTTAGTATTTTTACAAGATCATGATTTTGTCATGTCATGTCATGATTTTGTTCGTGATGTATCATTCTATAATGGATCTTTAATAGAGCTTAAATGAAAATATTGTAAGCAACTAAGTATGAATTACTATATCAGGAAAAAGCTTCCCACCAAACAAATGACATTTGAATAAATGAAAACCGCTTGTGTTCTCCCTAGAATGGTGTGACGTGCTTTGTTGAAAGACAGAGCAATTTCATGCTGAAGGCAAGCAAAAGCTAAGTTTGAGGACAAGCAAGGTTATTCATACAGATTTTAGGCAATTGCTTTTATGCTTGATCTTATGCTTGAAGTTGAACCAATGCTTACAAGCAGTTGCTACCTTTTATGTATACGGCCCAATGTACAGTATAAACTTCTTAGAATCAATAAAACATGAACCCGTAACTATACCAGTGTAGATAAATATGCTTGGTCCCCATTTACAGAGACATTCAGAGAGGCATCGGTCCAATTCTGATGTAAAGGCATAAACTTAAAAACCGCATTGCAGTAATGAATTTTCACCCAACTTTGAATTACCCAGGTCTGGCCTATGTGTAAAGTTATGCGGGCTTAAAGTTGATTGGTACACACTTCATCAAATTAGCTCTGATATATGACCATAACACACCCTAATACACCTATAATAATGCACACAAACACTCACTCGAATTAGATTTTGACCAACCTATGCCCCGTTCAAAGTTGTTAAGGTGTGTCTGGTGGTATAGACTAGCAGAGTATGGCACAATTCTACTTATCTTCCCCTTTGTTTTCAAAGTACAATTCATCTTGGAAGAGAAATGAATAGCACCAATTTCATGAAAGGTGATGCAAAGAAAAGAAAAATTATTTCTGACTAGTACTAAAATCAGTTTTGTTCATCGTCTCTTGAAATGTTATTTTACTTCCTTTCCAACCCTTCATATATTCTATAACACAAATTTGCATGGGTGGGACTAAATATACACATCCCCGAGCGAAGCTCGGGGATGTACCCCGCTTGCTCCAAAAAGCCGCTGAGCCCCCTACACATTTGCCGACGACACGAATATCTATTCTATCATAACCTTTATCACCTTGGGAGTGTGTTCTGGGTGTTCGGTATTACATGAGCTTCATGCAGCTCTATTTATTTTTAAATAAAAATGTTAAAAACTCACCTAATCCTGCCTTTTTATCAGTAAAGTCCTTCACACAGCGAACAAAGTTGTGTGCAGTCCTATGGGGCTCGATCTCATGTAATCGCTGTATATGAACCGGAAGGTAATCGCAACTCTGTGAAGGTCAAGTCACGTGACGAGATCGCCCGAGTAGCACGCGCGGAAGCAACTGCTGTAGCAGACGACGCGACGTCTATACTGTGTGCAATGTAAATTTATAGCGTAATCGCCCAGATTCATTCATGATTCAGGCAGAAATTATTCAGCGTACGTAGAAACTGCCATGGAAACGAGAATGCTCAAAGAAGTTGTGGATGATGTGCTCGGAAGTACTTTTGTACTGAAACAAAAACAGGAGTCCATGCTCATAAGCGCTGCCAAAGGAAATCACACCATGGGGATCCTTCCCACTGGATACGGAAAAAGTTTGATTTATGCCCTCCACGCACCACTTTTGAACAAAGTAGGCATATTGTGTTTTTAAATGTAGCTGTCGTTTTTTTTATTGTCTTAATATTTTTTGTTAATCAGCTTTCTTGAATGGAACATGCAACAGAAAACAAGCGCCGTTTAATATGATTTTGTATAAGTTAATATTAAGGCATTGCCGTATATATACAAACTAGGGGTATGTTTGACCTTTTTTTTTTTTTTTTTTTTTTGCCAGTGTTTCATGATTTTTTTAGAGGGGGACAAAATATCAAATGTCCCCCCTCCTATATACGATTTGAGGTTTAACTTGTATTTTTAAGATTATATGCGACTTTTTGGTGTTTTAGTCGATGTGAGACCTTTCATTTTTCTTGTCAGTTTGTTTTGGAGTCGTTTGTTGGTTTTTACCTACCTCTCCACCTCACTTATTTATTTTTTGAAGAAAAAAAAATCACCAACAAGTTGAACAACAAGGTTTTTGTTAGTTTGTTCGTTTGCTTGTCGGAGAGGTGGGTCTCTTGCACGTATCCTGATGGAATAAGGCTCTGTCATGGGTGTAAAGGGGTGTAAAGTAAACTCTCATTTTGTGTTGTTGTAGTTGTTTTTTGGGGGAGGCCGTTCTCAAGGCCATCGTTTTGATCTTCTTTGCCGCTCCTTAGCCCCCCCCCCCTCCGTTTTGGAATTGGTAGCGGCACACCCCCGTCAAAATAACAGTCCCCCCCCCCCCCCGGGGGGAGTTATACAACCTCCACAATCTTTTCCAAATGTGTCATAAGTATATGCACGCCACGGGTTAGGTGCTCCCGACCCACTCATTTTACATGAATGCAAAAAGGAATGAGACGATCGAGATTCATTCATGCTGGTCTAATTTCAGATCATTATTTTATTTGCATGCATACAGTATACATTCATCGGATAGCGGGCCTTAAAAAGTCCGTCTGATCATGCAATGAGATACCAGGCCCAAATAAGGAACGGAACGGCATACTTCCCATAATTATGTGGATGCAAGACCAGCCAAAAAAAACAAAAAACAAAAACAAATACAAAAAAACAAACAATAACACACATAAATGAATGAAAATAAAATATAAAATTAAGGTTTCAAAATTAGGCAGAGCTGCTGGAAAATGTACTGGTTTTGTCCCAATCACAATCGGTCTTAAAATGATCACTTAAAGATATAATAATAATCAATAAAATAAGATTGGTGGGACCAGCCCCCCCCCCCCCCTCCCCATTCCCATCCTGCAGCATAGTGAATATGATTATATTTAACCAAAAAGAAAATTGAAGAAACTAATAACATTCATATTCACTGTCTAAAATATATAACTAACAAACACAGTTATATAGTTACCTTTACAAATGTATGATAAACTAAAACCTGTGCATGCATTAATCTTCTTCTTTTTTTTTTTTTTTACAGCTGAATCCACAGAAAACACACATAACCCTCGTAGTAAGTCCGCTTAAAAGTCTAATGCTGGACCAGGTGCGCAGATGGAAGAATCTTGGCATCAGAACTGCGGCCATTCTTGGCCATTCAGGTCATGACATGGACAGGGAGACTGAAAACGGTAATTCAAACAGCAACGAGAGATTTTACACGTTGTGGGTCATACAGCGGATTATACCAGGTGTCCCAGAAATAAAGTGGAACGAAGATTTTTCAGTATGCTTGCCTTAATTCAAAAGCTACATATTTGGTTTTACATTATTGGATAAATCATTTTCTACCAAAGACCAAAGAGAATGATGCCAAGATTGTTGTAAATGGTTCAGTAATTTTGATTCTATGCCCGTTTCTTTTAATACAATCATTTTCAAATTTCGCATGCTTTTAGCGACCAATATATAGGAGTACTTGTGTCGGGAATGGCGTGTAACATGCGTCCGTTTTCCGATTTCAGTTTTTCTTTTGTTTGCATGCATCAATGGGCTCCCCCCGAACATTCGAAATTTGAAAATGACTTTATTTAAAGAAACGACATGAATCAACACTACTCAATCAAATTCAAAGATCTAATTAGTATCATTCTCCTCGGTAGAAAATTCTTTACCCAAATGATGCAATAAAATTATACATTAAGGATCGTCATCACTTGTATAGGTAGGGCGTAATAGCATTACCATAATTTACATCACAACAAATAGTGCTTCTTCTTGCCACAGTTATGGTTAAATATATGGTAATAGTGTATAACATTATTATTATTGAAGTGATAATGCAAAACATCAAATCCGATGTACAATAAAATAGATAGACGACATACACTGTAAAAACTGGGGTGTTAAAATTGACACCAGTCGGTTTTAGTAGAGGACTACACCTTCAGGTATTAAAATTACTACCTTAGAGTTTGGACATAACACCAAAAATGTTAGAATAACACCATTGGGTGTTGAATTAACACCACAGATGTAAAACGCATGGCGTTGTCCTCTATGTACACCCGATATCAATATAGTTCTTGTTGTATCTGTTGATAAGAAATACAAGTGGAATAGATGTGGGATGTGATTATTTCACGTGTTTATATACAGAATGCACTCGATAGAATTTGACATGAATGCATCGATCACAACGTTCCTGTTATTTCTTCATTTATTAAACAGACCTGATGAATGGAGGGACAGACCTCGTTTTTACTTCCCCGGAGGCCATCCTGTCCCCTAAGTGGTGGCAATGGGTGCGGAAGTTTCAAAACAGGATTTCGTTGCTGGTGCTAGATGAGGTTCACTGCTTTACAAAATGGCATGTTCTTGAAAATTATTTATATATTTCAAGCCATTATCATACAAAATACATGTCTTTTAAAAGCTTATCACTTTTGTTTCTGCTAATCATGTGATTACATGGGCCCATTCAAGATAGCTCTGCATTATGAAGCTGCGTGAAAGTCTTAAACAGCAAGCGAGTTTGCAAAATGCGCCTTCAAAATGTGACATATTCATATAAGACAAAATAGGTATTTCCTCTTCATCGTTTACATAATGAAGGCCTATACATATACTCTGCACCAATGTCATTTTCATAAATATTAACAAGGAGCTACGTTTTCTGAGCTCAGTTTACTTCACTCATGCACAGTGGGATGTGCACTTTCACATGAAGACACTAATTATAAACCATAATTACACATTATCAAATTCACAACATTCACTGATAGGTAAATAGGTCAAACGAGTCAATTTTACCAATCATTTGTGTTCATCTTACAGGGGTCTTACATTCAGGGAGGAGTACCTCCGGACCACATCTTTGACATCCAGGCTGGCATGCCCTATAATGCTTCTTACAGCCACGGCAACAAACAGAATGGTCACAGAAATACTTCAAAACCTGAATCTCCGCAGGGAAGAAGTAGAAATATTCGCCGCTATTCCCAACAGGTTGGTTATACCTTATCATCATAAGCAGTTAATGTGAATGATCATTATTAATGATTTCTTCAAGTCAATTGATCATGATCATAGTATACATACATAGTATCTACTACTGAACTTCTCTTCCCTTATTGTAATAATAATTATGTGAGAAATCTTAAAGGAAAATGAAAATCAGACAGCAAAAACAAAATAAGAATACAGCCCTGCAGGGTTGCGACTAGGAACATTTATAAATAATAAATATGGTTAAGAGTGATCAGGGGTATATCAAAGATTTTAATAGGGACAGGGTTCAACAGGGGGCGGAAGGAGAACTTGCGCGCTCGCAAATCTACATTCTGCATGATACAAAATATCAGTAAAATGCAGTCAATATCTTTATGTATTTATTTATGCATTTATTAACATTAGATTATTATTATTTTTATTGTTGTTATTATTATTATTATTATTATTTTTTAATTATCATTATTATGATGTCGATGACTATTATTGTTGTTACTTTCATTGTTATTATTCTCTTTCATTTAATTTATTTATTTGTTATATTTTGTTTTGTTTGTTAGGAATTCAAACATGAGTCCGGTATCAGGGTATTAGCCAATCAAAATCGCGAATTTCGAGACTTATGTTTGAGTTGCTGAATTGGGTTTGATATCAGCTTTTATACCACAGGGTCCAGGGTTTCATAATTACTCGGATAGGCCCTTTTGAATATCATAAATGAATCATAAGGGAATTGACAGAACTTTAAATCGGACAGAAACCTGTGTAATACTCGTTATCAGTTGAGGCACATTAATTGTCTACAGCAGAGAGTCATAATGTCATAAACTATTAGGCTACATACGGACATTTAATGAAATCTTGTGTGTAAGGAGACTTTTAAGGAATATATGAATAGCTCTGTGGATATGACTGAGTTCATGTACCTTTAATTGTTCTATCCACAGACCAAACATTCATCTATCAGTGGTTCCGGTGAAGGACAAGTTTGAAGCCATTGGATGGTACTTGGATGAATTAAAGGAGAAGGGTGTCGATGCTGCAAAAACCATCATTTATGCACGGTAAATAAATTTTAAAACGCAATTTTCATTTTTCTTACGGAATTAAGTTTTATGAAGGTTTTCATTTTCAATTAACTAGTATGTCAAAACTTTAGGCGAATCTTTATGACAGCGATGCGTTCATTCTTACGTTTAACGTTTTGCAATATAAAGAATTATGTTCACATTATAAGGGGTCAATTTCATAAGGAGTTACGGTTAATCGTTACTTTGCTCAATAAACGGTTTTCCGTTCAGTTACAATTTATATCACTTTCACTATTGTTGACTGGATCTTAAAAGAGGCACACGTGGATTAGCTTCAATATCCTTAATAATGTCACTAAGTATTGTTCTTTCAGACAAATCGACCACGTTGCTGAACTCTACACATGGCTCAACGAAAGCCTCGCCGAGTCCGCCCATGCTCCAGGACCAGGGCAGTCTTGCAGTGTGGAAAGTAGACTGATCGAAATGTACCACGCATCAACGGACTCAAAGAGTCAGGAACGAATATGTCGTAACTTTTCCACCGAAGGTTCTAAGCTGCGCTGCGTTGTAGCAACAATAGCATTCGGTTTGGGTGTCGACATCGCCGACATTGATCAGGTTATCCACTGGGGATGCCCTAGTGATGTCCTCTGCTATTGGCAAGAAACAGGCCGATGCGCGAGGGATGGAAGACCCGGAAAAGCCATTATGTATCTGCCACCCTTTTCAGTCAACAAGAGATGGGTTGATGAAGACATGAGGGACCTTGTCCAATCATCCCGCTGCATCCGGAAATCGGTGTTGAACACGCTCTTCGTGCATGGCATGGAAAAGGACAATGTACAGGTGATGTCATGCTGCTCAGTTTGCGACAGTGCTAAGTAATACGGGACCCATAGCATGTATCCATTTCTATGAGTCAGTGCACAATTTAACACTGCGACGCTGTGCATCCATTCTCGTAGAAAGTGCTTTCAGCTTTTTACCAAGGTTCTTTGGATTTCGCAACACCTCTTTATGGTCGAACCCTTCAAAGCCTTTGTGTTGTCTGAAGGGCAAGTATTCAAACAGTCCAAATCCATCGTTCTCATCCACAAACAATGCAACATCTTGTTTGTATACATCCTCTGCTTTCTTCCTAGTTGGCGTCTTCATGGAGACGATCCCGGCATCACTGAACATGATATCCAGGTACCTACCAAATGGTCCTGACATCTTGGCACATCTCTGCGCGTGTTTCTCAGTCACATTTCCATGAGCGAAGTCGATCATACCTGCAAAAATTGATACAGAAAAAAAAACAGTTAAAATATAATTGTTGAGAAGATCAAATCAACCTTGATTTATAATTGCATATCACGTCACCTACGCACAACGCAAAATGCGTCAAACATTGCAACTGACATACCCTTGTAGTCCATGTTAATGTGCTCAGTACCAAGGTCCATCCCTATGTTTCCTCCGGGCTTGCCAGTGACATTGATGACTCTGTTCCAGATCAAATTGTTCCTGATGTCAGAAGGAGCAAATCCACCGATACCTGATGCCATGAAAAAACAATTTGCGAAATCTAAAACCAACATTTCACCAACATGACCAAGGAAATACTTTCTACTTTTCAAACCCCTCGTTCGAGGATCATTTCATGATGTTCAAAGGATCGCATGGGCACCATCCCTTTAACGTTAACTAGCTAGGTCACTATTAGTTTGAATGCACATGCCATCATTATGACCGTTCATCAGTATACACTTTATTAATTGTGTGTTTGCCAGCGTCCTTCTTTCGGCAAATGGCACAAATCTCCTATCTCTTAAACAATGCTTAATCTGTTTATCCCCAAACTCACAATATGCACATCCTGGAGGATTCGTTGTCTAGTACACCTAATCACAAATGAAACGGACGTATTCTATGTGCATTTCAAGTGGAAGTGGGTCTAAAAGATGATGTGATGATGTGGCACACAGAATATATTTTTGGCACATAATAATAAGTTTATCGTGAGTGTCATGAAGTCTTGTCCTGTCAGTTATTCTCGCATCGAGTCAAATGAATATCTTATCAATGTAAAATCTTATAAGTCTTCAAATTCCAGACTCACATGCTAAAAAGTAGTGGGCATTGATGAGGTACTTTGGGTGTCTCTTTGACCAGAAAGTTATGAGATCGATTTTCCAGTCTTCAACCATGACTGGTCCATTTCCAGCCCGAACTGCTGCTCTCCTGGCTAGATGTCGCAATCCTTCCAGAACGAGAGCTCTACTGTGGTTCAGCACATGGTCGTCGTTTTGAGAATCAAGGGCGCATTCTTCACTGCAATACCACTTCTCTGCGAAGATATATATATGGAATGCATTGGAACTAATGGATTTGTGAAAATTTGTTCCCTCTTCTTATTCTAAGGTACGGTTAGGGCTAATAAGATGCTTGTATAATTTATGATCGAACCTCATCAACTAGACTTTTGACATCCATGGAAAAAATGGGAATATGGAATATATAGTCCACGAATAGAGTTTTGGCTTGCATATCGCAGATTCTGGTAGAGTTTTATCCAGATAGGGACACCAAACGTTGCAGGATTAGTTCTATTTAGTGGGTTATCCAAACTTGCTAAAATGTTAATATTTGAAATTGTGTATTTATAATATTCCTGAAACCTTGTAACTATGAACAATTACAATATTCTTACCGGGTAAGAGATCAGTCAACTGAAGACCAATGCATCTGTGGTGATACCATTCATGACCCCTGCAGTTTCCTTTCAATGCGCACTGCGCCATGTTTGTGTTGCCCTCTGGATCGACTTTCCGCTGGCACACACAGTAGATGTAACTCGGACCACTCTCACAGTCGGCGCTGCAATACCAGTCTTTCTCTTTGTCTGGAGCAGCTGTCAACCCAACACAACTAAGGTGAAACCAAGCCTTGTGACATGTTGAACTGCAACACAGCACCATGTCGTCATTCTTTTCTGTATTAATTATTTTAAAAGGTTGGAAAAACATGTATCAGTCTTGTCGAATACAACTCAATTTTCTTTCAACAGAAGTTAGAGAAAACATTATTAAATTCATCCCCTAACTGATAGAGTGATATGTGTTTGAAGGATATCTTCTTTTTCTTCTATTGTCCACTTTTAAAATGCAACGCCCGTCTCCAAAACGAATTTGGGAGGTTTAAAATGCAGTTTAAGATAATTATGTTAGTAATGGCTTTGGAAAAAAATCGATATAGTGTACAATTCAGCTTGTAACTTATTTACCATTAGGTATGGCATTAATTGTCACTTGATTTTGGAAGCTTTTATCATATAATGAAACGGGAGCATATTCAGTTAAAAGTGCAAAAGAATAGATACTGGTACTGATGGACATGCCTACCAGATTTGCAGAGGCAATAGCCTAGTGCATCATCTGTTCCTTCAGAGGCCTCATTCTTGTATGCTTCTGCAGCTACTTGAACTGATGACTTATCGGGCTCCTGGTATATGTAGTCCACAACTTGTTGTGCCACACTCTTTACCCATTGGAGTTGTTCCTCTGTCGTTCCTTTAGCAGGGAAACTATCAGGGATGTCGTTTAGGGATGACGTTCCACAGAACTTCAATGCACAAAGGAGAGTGTACGCCTCGGTCACGAACTGCATAAATTATAAAAATGATTATTATAATGTGACTTTTAAGTTATGCTGGGATCATTCTTAAACTATCAAAACATCGTAACCCCCCCCCCCCCCTTTCTCCTTTTACTGACATTTCCATCATCATTTTTGTCAGTATAAGCTTTAATCTTGAATAATTGTCGCCATTCCAATCCACATTTTGAAACGTCTTTCTCCAATTTCAGTTACTTGAGGGAAATTCATCAACACCCCTCCCCCCTTCACATGAACACAAGCAAAAGCAACAAACGCACACACACACACACACACACACGCACACACACATACACACACTCACACAAATACGGCTTACCTCGTACATATCCCAGACATGCTGAACATTTTGCATCACGTCTTTTTTGAAGGAATGGTGATTGAAGTCGCATTTCAGTTGTGCAAGTGTTCCTCGTGCAGAAATACTTTGACCTCTGAAGAACACATTGTTCGAGTCCTATTATAAAGATTGGCAATATATCTGAATAACGTGATTTATGACATATTTTTCAATGATATCATTTACAAGCGATCATTTCAGTTTCTGGCTCTGACTTTGCAATTTACACGTCCTGTTTTGATTAATCGACAAATGAAGAGAATTTGACACCTAACCCTATCTTTTTATTGAACTGCAATATAATTTTTCCTAATCGACATTGTCATTCACGTTTTGAGACACAGAGCATAAAAGGTCATATAAGACGGTGAAAACTCTTTTATTTGATCAATTGTAATTTGCCAACACGTATTTACTGTGGTCCATGTAGGCATTATTTTAACAAGACCGTGGGAGGGGGGGGGGCATGACGCCCATGCTATTAACCCTCCAATTAAGATGATAACATGACTTTTAGACTCGAATATCATCTCACTTAAGAATTATATTGGGCTGCACCAGTGAGAATGTTCTTCCTTTCAAACTGACCTGCAATAGGAGGATCTCCTTGTGGAACTCCTGAGGTGTTGCAAAGAATGCGTCGAGTCTGTCCTCCCATCGTTCCCCGTTACTTCGCGCTCTCTGGGCGTGTAATATGCGTTCGATTGTCAGCCCGTCGCCACTGACGAGGGTCTGTGTTGGTGTTCCTTCGGTAACAGGCACATAGGTCTGGAGGCGCTCCAGGACTGAAATTGTCCCCTGCGTGGTACTAGGATTGGCGTTCACAACTCCAATTGTTACCTGTATTATAGGTAATTATTATCTGAATGTCAACATCTATTTTTCTTTGATAATATAATCTGAACTTATAGCAGTATGCCCACTATTTTCCTGGTTTCTCTCAGTATGAAGGTAGTTTAAAGTTATACTTCTAATCATTAGATATTACATTATCAACGCGAAGTGAACATTTAATTTGTCAAGTTGGTACTGGATAAACAACTAAGGCATACAATTTGAAGTACTCAAATCGGGCACTATAATTCAGATTCAAGTTAAAACAAACAAATTAAAAAAAGACTGTGAGTTGTATATTGAATAAGGCCTCTATAGCTGCACCCCTGGTCAAATTCTCACCATTTCAGACTTCTTAGCCATGGCAGCTGTTTGTGCGTGTTCTTGTGTGATGGGAAGGTCAGGAGATAAGCTCTCTAAAAAGCCCATATGCCTCCCCATGATGTTCGATACCACATCTACTAAGCGCATTCGCTGGCGGTTGAAGACTTCCGGTGAGGGCAAGAAGCTAAACGGGTCTAAGTCCTCTGCATCGCTCACTGTCGAGGATGACGAAGAAGCTGGCACCCTGTCCCTTGCCGCGTAGCACATCGTCTGAAGGAGGAATTTGTTGCTATGTGTTCTGCCTTGATGTTTTGCTTCACATCCCTTCTGCACGTTGTCAATACAGAGTCCAAATGTAGGAGGACCGGTAATGAACTTTAGCTTCCGACGTATTGTCATGCTCGGCGCTTCCTGATCAATTTAGGGAGAGAGGGATTTCGTATTATCCACATGTCAATTCATTTCAGCATAATATTAATTGAGAAGGAAACACCGATTTTTTTTTTTAGTGTTTTCGTGTTATCTAGAGTAAAAAAAAAGTCATACATTGCTACAAGAGGAAGCGGTCATTTCCTCAAACTATATCTCGATACTGCCAAGTTCTTACTAAGGGGACGAGCTGTGGGAATAAAGAGCTTTATAGATTTTAATACGAACAACTTTCAGAAAAAAGAACATAGTAGACGACTAGTATGGATGTACATAATTTTGTTAATTACTGTGAATATTCAAAATGGTGTATGACTCAAGTACACCCTATATTTCTTCACCTCAATTGTACACTTCCACTCTTTAAGTTGTTGGTCATGATTTTCCGCCATTCTATCGACATGGAACCTGACGCGCTCTGCTCCCATGGTGATGCCACTGTGATTGAGCGTCCGGAAGACTTTCTGGGACACTCCTTGGCGCCACAGTTCTATTCCCATGGTCGCCTGGACAAATTGGAAGCTGCGTGGCGAGTGGGTGTATAATGCCATGGCTAGTATAATTCCCATTCTGCGGTCGATGATTTCCTTTGCCTCTTTATCGGATAGTCCCCTTTTAATGGATAAGAAAAATAAGATCGTTTACGTTATTATCTTTCTTATAAGAAGCGTATAAAGTACTTTTCACCGCAAATTATTGCTTGGGAAACAGAATTTGGTTGTTGTACCCCCCCCCCCCCAAAAAAAAAAAGTCCAATAACATGACACACAAAACCTCGGACTGCCAATTAAGGCTATCAGATTCGAAATATTAATTCAGTTGTTGAGTTCCTCTAACTTCTCCCGTCTCTATCTTAATGCCACAAAATCATATATTTACATAATTACGTATTGTGCGACACTAAATTGTCCTTTTGCATGTGTTTAGTTTATCTGTGTAATGTTAATTTATAATTTCTTATGTGAAGGAAAGCGCCCACAATCTCTCTTACTTTTCAATGACCCCGCTTTATCCCCCAAAGTACATAACTATGATCAGTGTGAAATGTATTCAGGTTATCACTTATCAGTACTACATGTTGTACCTCCGAGAGCCTTTCTTTCCTTTTGTTCTTCCTCTCTTGGCCCCTTTGACCGAAGGCATCATTGCCGAGATGCAACTGATTGAGAGTGGCATAATCTTCTCGGTGTCCTCTACAAGATCCTCCCAGCTGAATTCTGCGACATTTCCAATTGTCACTGGCTGGCTCAAGGCGCTTCCGGATCGCTTAATGGCTTTCACCTGATAAATACAATCAATCATACTTTAAATTGACTAAAGACATGCGAATACCACGTCGTTATTGTAGTTAAATTGTAAAGCATATGTTTGGTTTCTAATTTAGTCAAATAGTTAAATAACGTAGAAATTGAAACGTTTTCCCGACTCATGACTTGCCTGAAAATCGTTAATTTCATAAAATAATATCGTCTCGCTCTAGAAGCGTAGAAGGAAAATTGTTCAACCAAAATCGATGATACTGGTATCAATTTCTTTAGAATTACATATACACTAATCCATAAAGGCATAGACCGTGCCCCCACCCTCTAGCCTATAATAAAATTTCTTACTTCTTCCCGGATCATCTCTTGCGTGACCTGTAACAGTGCCTTCTTTGCTGCTGGATAATTCCCACATAATTGTCTGAATGCGAGGCGATATTGCGAATTTTCGACACTCGCTACAGCCCTCTCCTTTGCAGTGGTTGGTCTCGAACCAGATTCAGGAAAGAGAGACGGAAGCTCATCGTTGAGTTCAATGCTCATTGATGGTTCTGCGTCTAGAAGAGATGATGATGGCGATGATGGCGGAAGGTTTGTCTGCACGTGAGCATCTACTTGATCATTTGGTGACGATATACATCTTTCTCCTTCTGCGAATTCACCGTCACCTTTGAGTTGAGGAAGAGAAGCTTTAATAATAGTTTATTTTTCTGTGAGACATACGATGTGCTCAAGCTAATCTTGATGAATACGAATACTCCCGTGTCAAAACTTCATTGTGGAATATTTCGATATTGCTTATAAAGTGTTTAATGTTCATGTAATTATTAAGAAACAAGAAAAAAAAAGAGAAATGTATGTTGCATGCAGTTTTACTTCTCAATCCTGAACGGTTATGTATTTGGATGTATGTTACAGTGTTGCTTATCAATCCTGAACGGGAATGTACTTGGATCTAAAACTTTGTGAGCCCTAGAGTTATTTGACGAGATAAATTTTGCGCAGATGGCAACTTGCAAATGTGTAACACTTATTTGAGTAACTTTCCATTCCATTAACCGTTCTTCCGGGGAAAGAGATGCTACAGAAATAATGAATCGGGAGAAATATAATTCAGATTATTTGGGCCGGTATAATTATAGAGACCCCTCTATAAGATATATACCTATCGTTTTGCACATTTTGAACGAATTATATTTTTGCGAACCAGATTCAGGAAAGAGGAACGGGTTTTGCAGAGGTGGTTATAGAAAGAAAATACCTGGCCTCAGTATTTCTCGCGAGGGCGTGTAATCATGGTCATGTTGCACAAGAAGACATGATTCATGCGGAGTGTCCTGCGCTTCCTCCACGGATCCGTTAGGTCTTGGTGCATGGAGGTCAGGCGTCGGAAAATGCGCGGGTCGCTTTGCAGCTGGAGTTGAAAGTCCAGGTGATGAATGTTCTGGCAAAAGTGGAGAAATGAAATCATAAATGAATAAATGAATGAGAAACGGAACACGGACCATATCCTTAATTAGTTAAAAACTTCAAAATATTTTTAAAGATTATATGTTATGTTTCAAATAGCATAACATCAAATGATTTAATGTTTGGGGGTTTAAAAATTCAGAATTTTGATGCAACCCCCCCCCCCCCCCTTCAAAAAAAGGCTCTTGCTCTCTCACTCGCCAGCACGCAGTATTCCCGATAGAGGGGCTGTAAACATGTAAGCCTCATGCTAGATATTTGTGGTACATGAGCATTCTTTTCTTTTTCTTCTTAACTTTCATATAAATTTGTTATATTAATACCTTCACAAATTCGTTGCAGGTACAAAAATGTAAAATAGAAGGACAGGTTTCGTAATTGCATAAGAATTTTCTGATTCGGTAACCCAATATAAAAAGTAATTCCCTGTTTCCTATGCAGAAGTACGTGAAATATCGGCTCGCTCGATGCGCTCGCTAGCACTATTAGGCTTTTTGGACAGGGTGAGTTCTCGGTTTGTGTTTATAAATCTTTATTCATAAGGCAATGCACCCGCCTCCTCATAATATAAAAAATATCCGATTTGAATTTATAAACCAACTTAAAGAATGCCTTATCTTTTACTCAGAAATATACAAATTTTATGCTCTCTCGTTGCACTCGCTCGCAATGATTTCAGACCCCTATAGTCTGTTCAGTATTCGGTTTGTCTGTATATGTCGTTATTTTAAAGACCAACCGCCCAATCATAAAACTTTGACAATGGGGATACACTTTGATTATTCAGGAAATAAATTTGAAGTATTCTATATACTGCGTAGGGTATGTTCATTTTTTTTTCAGTGTCCCTACCGTGGGAACGGGACACCTCTTCCCTCCATTTCCATCCTCCCCCCCCCCCCCCCCCCTCCCACTCAGCCGCTTCAATCGCTCCCTCGCCCCGATATTGACCATGGGCAAATCATGAACACGGATCAATGAACATGGATTAATAAGATATCGAGTAGAATATTAAATAATTTTAGATTAATTTTTCTGAAATTGTCTCACAATAACACTGCACTTCAACATTATTCTTTCCGACACTGTTTCGTATGATCATCATAGCCCTAGCCAACTCAATTTATCCCCCCCCCCCAAACAAAAACAAAAACAAACACAAAAAATCATAATTGAGGCGTGATGCTCGTTGCCCATCACCTGTGCACCATTTCCTTAGAACAATTAAAATCCTAAAATTTTTCCAGCATAAGAAATTTAGGTAAATATATTAAAGTAGGCCTACATGATTTGGACCCTGTTTGAAATTATTATCTTTGTTTGGTTGTTTGTCAGAATAAAAACTAAGCATGGGTTTGGAAGAGTGGTGTACTGATGAAAGGGTCCAATTAAATTTAGCTGTATATAGTGCCATACTAGAATTCATGGGGGAGGGGTGGTCGAGAGCAAAATAGACATTAATAATCGGATCATGTTTTGAGGAGATGCCGGATTTGGGCAGATCTGGATTCCTACCATATTCCTCCGACTCTTCATGTACTCGTTGAGGACTTTGTCCAGGGGATCCGGCTTGATGCAGCGTCCGTCGGGCGGTCCTTTTCCTACTCTGTACTGGCCTTGTTTGACTGACGAGGAACCTGTAGCACCGTCTACAAATAAAAACATTCAGTTCATAAAACGAAGGTGGCTTCCTAAAAATAGCCGTGAATGTTCTTGGCGAGGTGGTTGTTTTGACTTGATGACGATAAAAGCCTTTGTTTTTTGGTGTAAAATTTTGTTTACAATTGATGCAAGAAGAAATAGTTCCCTCCATTTTAGCCTGCAGCAGACGACAAGCTTTCCGTAACACATTGAACGCACACGTGCTCGCACTTCCGGTTGCGCATGCGCAATACGTATGTTTCGTGAAGCTACTATTTTGGAATTTTAGTGCGATCACCAAGGACCAAGTTTTAGGTTAATTTGTTGCATTAAATCAGTAAAACCTCACTATCAGATATCAAGAAAGATGACAATGGATGCGCACAGCAACGTGGCATAGCCAAATGTGAGTATAGTTCCAAAATAATTAATTGCGTTAATTTAAAATGTTTTTTTTTAAATGTAGAAATTCTAGAATTGGCCGTTCACTGTACTGGCGGTATGGGAGGAGGTCAGACGCCGTGCTACGCACGGCGTCTGGTCAGGCTAGGGTGGGACTGACTCTTGGTTTGTTCTTAGCAAGTGTACATATCATCATTGAAATTACAATATGCCTAAATAGTTAAGAAGATGTTTATTACAGTAAAAACTGATTTACTTACGTTTGTAATGAGGGAAATGTCTGAAATAAATCAACTGGATCCGGAGAAGGATGAAAATAGCTTTCTCTGCAATCCCATTGCTTTCTAATTCTCTGAAACTACAGCTTGCAGTACAAACTCTTGACCAATCAGAAGCCAGCATTCATGGGAGTCAGGGGAATTCCCTGTTATGCTAGTCTATGAATGCAGACACATTGTCACACAGGTGGGACTTTTGAAATTATGTAAATTAAGGCTACTTACTCATGATTCGTGTCAGCAGATTTTTTGAAGCATAGCCTAATTTTGATCCTCATACATATACAAATGTCTGGTGAAAAAATTATGCTTTTGTCCGGCCTGTCATGATCAAAGGTATATTTGTCACTAAGCTACCCCACTACCTGTTTCGCAGAAAACGAGCAGTTGGCCTTTTCTTTTGTCCCTTCTTCATGTGACCCCTTCTCCGATCCACCAGCTGTATGATGAGCATATAGCCCGCACCATGAGAGCCAGAACGTGAGAAGCCATCTTAGGGTCATCTCTGTCTCCACATTTCCTGGCAAACTCTTCACACTCCGTATTCATGGTACCCAGGCTGGTTCCCTTTGGGGCTGCGACTAAGGCGCTTCTTCTGTTCTTGCAAAAGAAGTTGCTGCGTTGAATCTTCCGGGAATTTGTTATTCATATCGGGATCTTCTCTTTCAAACATTGCTGCAAAAGCAGCACTCTCTGTTTCCCCAATGTCGACAGCCTCCTTCTCAAACATTGCCTTTATTCGTCCCTCTCGCTTAGAGATCTTTTTCAGGGCTTCTGGCCTCTCTACATGATCAGGTAGTGTGACCAGTACCTTACTAGGTCCTGCCCTACAGAGCTTGAAATTTCTGCCTGCTACTTCCGGAAACTCTGAAATGCCGGAGCAGTAGACATTGGCAATCACCAAAATGCAATCTAATCTAATCTTACTTACCACTGAAGGTAGTAAATATAAAAAGGAACGCTAGTGCTGTTCAAACTTCCTCAGGGCTTCTGGTCTGTCTACATGATCAGGTAGTATGACCAGCAGCTTACTAGGTCCTGCCCTACAGAGCTTGAAATTTCTGCCTGCTACTTCCAGAAACTCTGACTGGAGCTTCCCCCGTTCATTTGTTTTTTTGCCCTTGCCCTTCCCCCCTGTGTAAATATCAAAGTCAATTTTATAACCTGTAGAAGATTCTGCTAAAACCCAAACCTTGATCCCAAATTTTGTTGGCTTATTTTTTATATATTGTCGTATTCCTGATCGCCCCTTGGACTTCCCCATCCGTTCATCGATAGACACACACACTTAGAAGGGATGTATGTTTCCTTACACGCTGCTTTGAAATGGTCAACAAGAGAGTCTACTTTCCTTAGTCTATTTTGCTTGTCTCCTTCTTAATTGGGATTGACAAAATAAAGGAAAGAATTTGTTGCCTTGAATCTTTTGAAGGACATTAGACATCTTGGGAATGGGAAGGAGTAAATTTGACTTTTTGGACCAAAATTTATCGAGACGTGAAATGGGCACAATGCCCATGAAAATTATAATACTTAAATAATGGTAGAATTCATCAGGGGTTATTGCTGTCCACTTATATGATATTTTCTCATCGATATGGGCATCAGCGTATCCATTGGTAAAATCACATATTTGTTGCACAATGTACAAGAAAAAATACATCCTAAAAAAATCAATCGCAGAAGAGAATGCTGCAACTCCCAATCGAGTCCCAGTCCCCAGTTGTGGGCCACATGACTTATCATGGGCAAATGCAGATGGTTTACTCCCTCCCTTGTCACTGTCTTCATAGGACTTGAACTTCCTGAAAAAATTAAACATGTGCAAAGTTTCGATGTCAACCTAAAATACAGAAAAGAAAATAGTAAAGGAACAATTTTTTGAAGAAGAAAAATAAAAAGGAAAGAGAAAAATAATGTAGGTAGAACTTGTGCCACCTGCAAATTATTGTTCTAGCATAATGATGAGGTAAACTACTTCAATATTTTGATGTCAGATCTTAACTAACAAACATGAAATAAATATACCCCAAAAAATTATCAACAATAGATTTAGATTTCTACGTAGTAAGGACATACCTCGCAGACACATTGTCGGACTTGGAAGACTTGCTCTTCTTGTTGCATGGTGCTTTAGAAGGTTGTGTTTTCTGATTCCTAGAAAAATAATTTGAGATACAATTTAGCCTGAAACCACATTATATCATGCAAGGAAATATAATTGACAGATGTAGTAATGGTAAAAAATCTGAAATTTCTACGTGGATTTACTGTAATCACGTTTGGTTACATTCACTCATTCACTACACTTCACTCAGAAGTTGTGTACAACCTCAACACTACATGGGAATATTGATACGTAAAATAACATTCTATACTATGAAGTAGCATTATATTCAACAACAGACACAATAAAAATCTATATATCATAATATAATTAAGTTTCAGAAATAACGTACCTTTTCAGCTGTTTTCTGGGGCCAGTTCTGCTCGTCGATGGTCCGTCATTCGACAACAAACTCGTATCTCTACGAGTGGGACTATTATTTTGAAAATTTGTCTTTTCGGGCTCATTTTCTTTGGAAGAATCACTAAAATAGGATAAGGAGGCATCGGAATATGAGGAGTCACTATCTATTGACGAAATTTCATCGCTAGAATAATTGCTGGAAGACATTTTGGTGTGATTTGGAGACGTTTGATGAACGAGAATCAGCAAAAGTTCGATGCGCACAATGATTCAGCAAGCGCACGAAAAGCAATGGGGAAAAAATAATGGGTTTCTTTTTCAGTTACGTAGGGGTACTTGCGTACTGTCCTCTACGTTGAAACTTTACACACACATAGAAAGGGAATATCTCAATCGAATGCTTTTTTTTCTATTCCAATCGGAGCTCGGTAAGTTAGTGAAAATTTATCGCATTCTTGGGGTATTTTAGTTGAATCATATTAACGACTGTCGGTAGGGGCGCTTCCGTGTATTGGGCATGGGCGTGCCATAGGGTGACGTGTTATAGCGAGGTTTGAATTAGGGTTAAAACAATATCTATTCAAGTAATAACATAACCTGGCTTTATCAAAACATTTCTTATCAAAGTTGGCATCCAAAGTTTACCTTTTCCTTGCCCATCATTGCAAAATTTAATTTTCCTCTGTATATTCAACATGAACTTCAATTATCAAGCAAGACATGCAAATTCTAAATAGTTCAAGTAGATTCGTCTCAAATACAATGAATTTTTCCTCAGTTCGAGGGCTCTTACTATGTTACTAGATACCTCTTCTGGACTCTATGAAGTTGGACTCTGCTGGACTATGTTACTAGATGCCTACATCATCTGTTCGCAGCAGTCACTTTGGGTTGTTTTGTTTTATCTCATTCAGCGTACGAAGGGCATGTGATGAAATTTCATCCGTCCACATATTCTCAAGCAGTGTGATAAATTTCTCCACTCTGGCTTTCATTGTATCACCATCAGAATCCATGAGTGCTCTGTTCACCAAAATCATACTGGCCTTCTTCAAGCTATGTCCAAGCTTCAGTGCCAGGCTGGGTGTTGAAAACAGGCGAGTCTTCGTGTCAAATCCTGAAACGACCTTCACAGATTTAATTACAGTCTTGAACTAACTTGGTGAGAAAAGTGTTGTAATGTTTGCATTCTTGTTTTTACCACACTCTCAATATTGGATCACCAATCGTGCCAGTTCTCGTGATTTGCTGAGAATGTGATCAAAGTGTTCTTCATCATGACCAAGCTGGTTACAATGGTTACAATAGCTCCTTAGCTAGGTCTAAAAGTACATCATCATAAACAATTCACGTTTAACATTATTATCTCGCATGGAAGAACAGCAGGGGGGGAAGCTATTTTCTTATAGTGCTCACTATCACCCCTGCATCCTGGAAGACCATGAGAACGTTGAAGTGACATCCAACCATCTTCCTTCTCACACCTTGCTTTTATACTTCAACCTACAGTCAACCCTCAATGTTCAGGATGATGATAGTAAGTCAGAGAATGATCCCCCACAATGCCACCTCTAAACTGCTCTCGCCGTCTCCAACATTGAGCATCCTCATCCTTTTGGTCTCACGTTGTTGGATAGGCATATAAATCTCAAAAATATTATACAATTTCAATTATTTAAATTTCCCTGTAAGGAACCCATTTAATGAGCCTTGAGCCAACACATTAGAATTTGCATTCCACCAGAACCATCTAGTAAATACCCCAAACATGCATAGTTAGCCATCAGTATGTGAAACTGTCCAAAGCAAACAAATACATTGTCAAATCTCGGGGCCTCTGTGCACTGGATCTGTAAAGCTGGTTTCGCAATTGCCAAATCATAATGGACTACAATGCCTTCCTGATGACATTCTGCAGCAACTTGTTGCAACCTTTTGAGGGTCTCTCTGACAACATCAAGTCTAGTTGGTGGTAATTCACGAATTCCACCCAAACCACATAGGAGTATCAGAATGGTTCTAGATATCTTTCCTTTAGTAGCTGAATTTTCTCTGCTAGTTTTGCCGCCTCTTCACTATCATTATCATTGACATAATATAAATTTTAAAACTGTGGTTCCAAATATGTACTTGAATTTGTTGCACTTAGCTTAGCTATAACCAGACCCAAAATGCCATAATCATGATTCTGACCTTTTATTTGTCTCTGCGAATGTTTCCAAGGCCCTTTTACGCATTTCCACTCCATCCTTCTTTTTTGCTTCGTCGCAATCTTTCTCCATTTGCTGTTCCTTGGTCTCTTTCTCCACTTCCGTGAGGTTCCCAGCCATCTCATCTCCAATCTTTTGCTGGTTCTGCCATTAACGGAGGTGGTCACAGTCTAGGCAAGTTGCCACCACCTTCACCTGAGACCCATAAGTGCCGGGGCACACCTTCTCTACACACATGTTCTTGGACAAGCAAGAAGTACATATTCTGAATAATTCAAGCAGATTTGTCTCAAAGACGATGAATTTTTCCTCGGTTAGAGGGCTCTTAGGTTGAGACCTGCATGGAAGACCGGGCTTGTGATGAAATTTTATCCGTCCACATATTCTCAAGCAGTGTGATGAATTTCTCCACTCTGGCTTTCATTGTATCACCATCAGAATCAAGTGCTCTGTTCATCAAAATCATGTTTGCCTCCTTCAAGCTATGTCCAAGCTTCAGTGCCAGGCTGGGTGTTGAAAACAAGTGAGTCTTCTTGTCAAATCCTGAAACGACCTACACAGATTCAATTACAGTCTTGAACTCACTTG